GCCCGTGGGCTGGTGGGGGGGGTCCCTGGGCTGGTCTGGGGGGTCCCTGACTCACCCTGGGGGTCCCTGGGCTGGTCTGGGGCATGTCTGGGGGTCCCTGGGTTGGTTTGGGGGTCCCTGGGTTGATCTGGGGGGGTCCCTGGGTGGGTTTGGGGGCTCACCCGGATGCTGCGCAGGTCCCAGAGGCGCAGGGCGCCGTCGTCGCCGCCGCTGAGCAGCGCGGCCGCGTCGCGCCGGCTCCAGCTGAGCACGTTGACGTCGCCGTCGTGCGCGGCGGCCACGCTGAGCTGGCACGCCCGGCCCGGCGGCGCCCGCACGTCCCACACGCGGATGGAGGCGTCCGAGGAGCACGAGATGAACACCTGGGCAGGGAAACGGGTGAGTTCGGGGCGGTTTGGGGCTCTGGGGGTGTATTTTATTTGTTTTTCTGGAGCCAGGTCTCGCAAGCTCTCAAAAGAAATGTAATATATACACCCAAGGGCAGCTCAGCTGTTATTTTGGGGGCATAAAATAAGCAGGAAGGCTTCTGCTGCACTGTTAGAAATAAGAAAACTTAATAAAGGGCAAAATGACAAAGAGAAAAACTCGAGCTGGGTGCAGAGGTCTGCTCCTAATAAAAACACCTCACAAAAGCCCCTTGCTCTTTTTTCTTCTTTTTCTACCTGGTATTTCAAGACTTTTTAGCTTCTATCCAATCAGCTGCCCTAAAGCGAAGTCCCTAACGTGCTACAAAGCAGCTTTTTACCTAATTGTTATGAGAAATTTCTAAGCTTATTTTATTTTTCGAAGACAAAAGATAGTTTTGCCGCTGTGCTGTTAAAGAAAGCTCCTAAGGGCGCTCCTGGCGCGGCTCCTCACCGAGGCCTCGCTGGGCGACCACTGGATGTCCTCCACGCTGCCGCCGTGGCCGAGCAGCGGCCGCTGGTCCACGGCCCAGCCGCCCTCGCGCGGCTCCCAGCGATGGATGCGCCCGCGGACGTCCCCGGACAGCAGCCGGCCTGGCCAGAGGGAGCAGGGCCGTCACAATCCCAACAATCCCCCGTTATCCACAAATCCGCACCAGGGTCGCCATGCCTCCCAGAGCCCCCTCCAGTGCTCCTTCTCCTCACGTTTTCCATCTTTTTTTCTCTCATGTTTGCTGTCCTTTGCACCTCGAGTGTTTTGCCCTTTCCCCTCATGTTTCCCACCCTTTTCCCCTCACGGTTCCTCCCCTTTTCCCCTCACATTTTCTGCCACTTTTCCCCCTTTCCGCCATCTTTTCTTCCCTCCCGTTTCCCGTCGTTTTCTCCCCTCACGTTTCCCGCCATTTTCCCCTCACGGTTCCTCCCCTTTTCCCCTCACATTTTCTGCCACTTTTCCCCCTTTCCGCCATCTTTTCTCCCCTCCCGTTTCCCGTCATTTTCTCCCCTCACATTCCCCACCATTTTCCCCTCACGTTTCCCTTTTTCCCCTCATGTTTTCTGCCAATTTCCCCCCATTTCTGCCACCCTTTTCCCCTCACATTTCCTGCTGTTTTCCCCTCACATATCCCACCCTTTTCCCCTCACGTTTCCTGCCCTTTTTCCCCTCACGTTTTCTACCACTTTTCCCCCTTTCCGCCATCGTTTTTCCCCTCACATTTCCCGCCCTTTTCTCCCCTCATGTTTCCCGTCGTTTTCTCCCCTCACGTTTCCCGCCATTTTCCCCTCACGGTTCCTCCCTTTTCCCCTCACGTTTTCTGCCAATTTTCCCCCTTTCCGCCATCTTTTCCCCTCACATTTCCCACCTTTACTCCCCTCACATTTCCTGCCATTTTTCCCCCCTCATTTTCTGCCACTTTTTCCCCTCACGTTTTCTGCCAATTTTCCCCCTTTCCGCCATCTTTTCCCCTCACATTTCCCACCTTTACTCCCCTCACATTTCCTGCCATTTTTTCCCTTCACACTTGCCACCATTTTCCCCTCACGTTTCCTGCCCTTTTCTCCCCTCACGTTTCCCACCCTTTTCCCCTCACATTTCCCGCCCTTTTTTGCCTCACATTCTCTGCCACTTCTACCCCTTTCCCCCATCTTTTTTTTCCCTCACATTTCCCACCCTTTTCCCCTCACGGTTCCTCCCAACTTTTTCCCCTCATGTTTTCTGCCAATTTTCCCCCGTTTTTGCTACCCTTTTCCCCTCACATTTCCCGCCCTTTTTCCCCTCACATTTTCTGCCACTTTTACCCCTTTCTGCCATTTTTTCCCCTCATGTTTCCCGCCATTTTCTCCCCTCACGTTTTCCCCCATTTTTTCCCCTCACGGTTTCTCCCCTTTTTCCCCTCACGCTTCCCACCCTTTTCCCCTCACGATTCCTCCCCCTTTTCCCCTCACATTTTCCACCCTTTTTCCCCTCACATTTTCTGCCACTTTTACCCCTTTCTGCCATATTTCTCCCCCTCATCCACCCTTTTTCCCCTCACATTCACGTTTCCCGCCATTTTCTCCCCTCACATTTCCCACCATTTTCCCCCTCACATTTCCCCCAAATCCTTTCCAGGGCTCTGGGGTCTCCAATCCCCCTGTGACCCCCATGAGCCCCCAGACCCCAAACCCCCCCAATTTCCCCCCAAATCCTCACCTGGGCTCAGGGGGCTCCAGTCCAGCCCGAACCCCTCGTCCATGTGGCCGCTGAAGGTGGCAAGGGCGGGCAGGGCTCCCTGCTGGACGCTCTTGGGCCCCCTCCCCAAATCCCCCTCCCCAAATTCCGTCCCCAGGGCCCCCAGGGCCCCCCCCAGAGCCAGCACCTCCACCTGGCCCCGCTCCGACCACACGGCCGCCATCGGGGACCCCCCGAGGGACGTCACCTGCGGGGGGACACGGCAAAGGGGGGTCAGGGACCCCCAAAGGGGGCTAAGGGGGGGGTAAGGAGGGATTTGGGGGGGTTTGAGGGGTCCCAGGGGGTATTTTGGGGTCCCAGAGGGTCCTGAGAACGACTCAGGGGGAGATATGGGGGTCCCCAGGGGTGTCTGAGGGGGTCCCAAAGGGTTTGGGGGGGCCAAGATGGGGGTCTCAGAGCATCCCAAGGGCTTTTTGGGGGGTCCCAAAGGTTATTTGAGGGTTTAAGGAAGTTTTTTGAGGTTCACAGTTTAATTTTGAGGGTCCCAAAGGAATTTGGGGGGTGGTCCCAAGGTTAAACGGAGAATCCCAAAAGGTTTATGAGGGTCCCGGGGTGGGTTTTGGGTTCCCAGGTAGGTTTTTGGGGTTCCCAGGGTGGGATTTTGGGTTCCCAGGTGAATTTTTGGGTTTCCAGGTGGGTTTTTGAGGTTTTTTTGGGTTCCCAGTGCGAGTTTTTGGGTTCCCAGCTGGGTTTTCGGGGTTCCCAGGTGAGTCTTTGGGTTCCCAGATAGGGTTTTTGGGGTCTCAGGGTGAGTTTTTAGGTTCCCAGGTGAGCTTTTGGGTTCCCAGGGTGGGTTTTTGAGTTTTTTTTGGGTTCCCAGTGCGAGTTTTTGGGTTCCCAGCTGGGTTTTCGGGGTTCCCAGGTGAGTCTTTGGGTTCCCAGATAGGATTTTTGGGGTCTCAGGGTGAGTTTTTAGGTTCCCAGGTGAGCTTTTGGGTTCCCAGGGTGACTTTTTGGGTTCCCGCTCAGTTTTTGGGTTCCTGGGTCAGTTTTTCGGTTCCCAGGTGAGTTTTTGGGGTTCCCAGGTGAGCTTTGGGGTTCCCAGAGGAGCTTTTGGGTTCCCAGGGGGGGTTTTGGGGTTCCCGCTCAGTTTTTGGGTTCCCAGGGCGAGTTTTTGAGTTCCCAGGGTGGGTTTTTTGGGTTCCCAGGGTGGGTTTTTGTGGGTTTTTTCTGGGGGGGCTGTTTTGGGGGGTCCGTACCCTCAGCCTGTTGATGCCCCCGTAGTGGGGGGCCATGATGAGCAGCAGCTGTGGCTCCCGCCCGCCCCCCTCCTGCTCGCTGTCGCTGTCGCTGAGTTTTTGGGTTCCCAGGTGGGTTTTTGGGTTCCCAGGGTGGGTTTTTGAGTTTTTTTTGGGTTCCCAGTGCGAGTTTTTGGGTTCCCAGCTGGGTTTTCGGGGTTCCCAGGTGAGTCTTTGGGTTCCCAGATAGGATTTTTGGGGTCTCAGGGTGAGTTTTTAGGTTCCCAGGTGAGCTTTTGGGTTCCCAGGGTGACTTTTTGGGTTCCCGCTCAGTTTTTGGGTTCCTGGGTCAGTTTTTCGGTTCCCAGGTGAGTTTTTGGGGTTCCCAGGTGAGCTTTTGGATTCCCAGGGTGAGTTTTTGGATTCCCGCTCAGTTTTTGGGTTCCCAGGGCGAGTTTTTGAGTTCCCAAGGTGGGTTTTTTTGGGGTCCCAGGGTGGGTTTCTGTAGGTTAATTTTTGGGGGGGCCGTTTTTGGGGGTCCGTACCCTCAGCCTGTTGATGCCCCCGTAGTGGGGGGCCATGATGAGCAGCAGCTGTGGCTCCCGCCCGTCCCCCTCCTGCTCGCTGTCACTGTCACTGTCGCTGTCACTGTCACTGTCACTGCTGCCCTTCTTCCCCCGCAGCCCGTGCAGGTTCTGCATCTGCATCAGCAGCACCCTGGGGAGCAGGGGACACCCCAAATCAGGGCTGGGGACACCCCAAAAACACCCCAAAACCACCGGAGAAATACCCCAAAATCAACCCAAAACCCACACAAAAAGCAACCCAAAACCCACCCAAAAACTGCCCCAAAACACCCCAAAACCCACCCAAAAAAACCTCAAAATCACCCCAAAACCCACCTGAAAAACCCCCCAAAATCAAGTCCATAAACATCCATAACCACCCCAAAACCACTGCAGAACGCACCCCAAAACCATCCCCAAAACCAAACCAAATCCACCCAAAAAACACCCCAAAACCGCCCCAAAAAAACCCCAAAACTACTGCAAAACCCACCCCAAAACCCACCCAAAAAACCATCGCAAAGCCCACCCCAAAACCCACCTGAAAAACACCCCAAAACCGCCCCAAAAAAAACCCAAAACTACTGCAAAGCCCACCCCAAAACCCACCTGAAAAACACCCCAAAACCAAGTCCAAAAACATCCATAACCACCCCAAAACCACCCGAAAACCCACCCCAGAACTGCCCCAAAACACCCCTAAAATCCGCCCCAAAGAAAACCCCAAAACCACTGCAAAATCCACCCCAAAACCAACACAAATCCACCCCAAAAGCGCCCCAAAAAACCCCCAAAAACACTGCAAGACCCACCCAAAAAACACCCCAAAACTGCCCCAAAAAATCCCCAAAACTACTGCAAAACACACCCAAAAATACACCCCAAAACCCACCCGAAAAACCCCCCAAAACCACCCCAAAACCCACCCCAGAACTGCCCCAAAATCACCCCAAAAGCGCCCCAAAACCGCACCAAAACCCACCCAAAAGTCCCGGGGGTCTCAGGGTAATTTGGGGAGGGGTCTCAGGGTAATTTGGGGGGGGTCTCACCGGTTGGGCCCAGGGGTCTCAGGTTAATTGGGTAATTTGGGGAGGAGCCCGAGGGTCTCAGAGTAATTTGGGGAGGGGTCTCAGGGCAATTTGGGGAGGGGTCTCACCGGTTGGCTCTGGGGTCCCCGAGTAATTTGGGGAGGGGCCTGGGGGTCTCAGGGTGATTAATTTGGGGGGGAGTCTCACCGGTTGGCGCCGGGGGTCTCAGGGTAACTTGGGGAGTGTGTCTGCTGAGGACCTCCCGGTTCCCGTCAGCTCCCGGATTCCCCTCAGGACCCCCCGGTTCCCCTCAGGACCCCCCGGTTCCCCTCAGGAACCCCTCAGGACCCCCCGGCTCCCCTCAGGACTCCCTCGGTTCCCCTCAAAACCCTTCGGTTCCCCTCAGAAACCCCTCAGGACCCCCCGGCTCTCCTCATCCCCCGGTTCCCCTCAGGACCCCTCAGTTCCCTTCATCCCCCCGGTTCCCCTCGTCCCGCCGGCCCAGCCCGCGGTACCGGTGCCGGCGCGGTGATACATCACGTACGCCTCCTCATCCATCACCAGCTCCTCGTCGGGGCCCAGCGGCGGCCCCGCGCCGGGCAGGTACACGCGCCCGGGGGACTCCGCGTCCGCCCTGTCGCCATTGCGGGCGATTCGGGGCCGGTTGCGGTTCGGGGCCCGCGGGCGATTCGGGGCCCGCGCTTTGGAGGAGCCGCGCCGCGCCGCCATCTTGGCCGTGAGGGGAGGCGGCACTTCCGGCGGGGGCTCCGCCCACTTCCGGGTGGCCGTGTGGTGGCTTCCGGTCACGTGATGGACAATGGCGGTCGGGAGGTTCCAGTGACTCCCAGTAAAACCAGTGACCTCCAGAGACCTCCCAGTGACTCCCCCCAGTAACACCAGTGACCCCCCAGTAACTCCCAGTAATCCCCTAGTGTGCCCCCAGTAACTCCCAGTGACCCCCCAGTGACTCCAGCGAGCTCCCAGTGACTCCCAGTGTCCTCCCAGTAAGTCTCAGTAACTCCAGTGACCTCCAGAGACCTCCCAGTGACTCCCCCCAGTAACACCAGTGACCCCCCAGTAACTCCCAGTAATCCCCTAGTGTGCCCCCAGTAACTCCCAGTGACCCCCCAGTGACTCCAGCGAGCTCCCAGTGACTCCCAGTGTCCTCCCAGTAAGTCTCAGTAACTCCAGTGACCTCCAAGTGACGCCCCCAGTAACACCAGTGACGTCCCAGTCCCTCCCAGTCCACACTCCCAGTGTCCTCCCAGTAAGTCTCAGTAACTCCAGTGACCTCCAGAGACCTCCCAGTAACTCCCAGTGACCCCCCAGTAACTCCCAGTGTCCTCCCAGTAACTCCAGTGACCTCCAAGTGACGCCCCCAGTAACACCAGTGACGTCCCAGTCCCTCCCAGTCCACCCCAGTTTATCCCAGTCCCTCCCAATCCCCTCCCAGTTTATCCCAGTTTATCCCAGTCCATCCCAGTTTATCCCAGTCCATCCCAGTCCGGCTCTCGGGTTCCAATCTCTTTATTGGGGGGGGAGGGGCGGCTCTGGGGGCGCCCCCGGCCCCTCCCCCCCCCGGAGCCGCCCCAGCTCCGCCAGCGCCGCGCGGAGCAGGGCCGAGAACCGCCGGGGGTCCTGGGGAGAGAGAGACACAAATTAACCTAAATTATCCTAAATTATCCCAAAATCCACCCCGGAGCAGGGCCGAGAACCGCCGGGGGTCCTGCAGAGAGAGAGACACAAAACACACCAAAATTAACCCAAAATAACCCAAAATCCAGCCCCGGAGCAGGGCCGAGAACCGCCGGGGGTCCTGGGGAGAGAAGAGAGAGAGACCCCCAAATTAACCTAAATTAACCTAAATTAACCCAAAATCCAGCCCCGGAGCAGGGCCGAGAACCGCCGGGGGTCCTGGGGAAAAAGAGACCCAAAATTAACCCAAAATATCCCAAAATCAACCCAAAATCCAGACTGCCGGGGGTCCTGGGGAGAGAGAGAGACCCAAAATTAACCCAAATTAACCCAAAATATCCCAAAATATCCCAAAATCCACCCAAAACCCAGCCCCGGAACTGCTGCTGTGGGAACTGCTGGGGGTCCTGGGGAGAGAGACTCCCGAAATTAACCCAAATTAACCCAAAATACCCCAAAATATCCCAAAATCCAGCCCCGGAACTGCTCTGAGAACTGCCGGGGGTCCTGGGGAGAGAGAGCCCAAAATTAACCCAAAATACCCCAAAATCCACCCAAAATCCAGCCCCGGAACTGCTGCTGTGGGAACTGCTGGGGGTCCTGGGGAGAGAGAGACCCCCAAATTAACCCAAATTAACCCAAAATCCACCCAAAATCCAGCCCCGGAACTGCTCTGAGAACTGCTGGGGGTCCTGGGGAGAGAGACCCCAAAATTAACCGAAATTACCCCAAAATCCACCCCAAATACCCCAAAATCCACCCCAGGAACCCCCAAATCACCAAGGGGGGAGGGGCGGGGTCAGGGACCCCCCCGTGAACCCCCAAAATCCCCCCCAGACCCCCCCAAATCACTGAGGGGGGGGAGATTTGGGGTTTTTTGGGGTTTTTTCAGGCAGATTTTGGGGGGGTTTGGGGTTTTTCTGGATGAGGTTTTGGGGTTTTTTTTGGATAAGGTTTTGGGGGAGGTTTTGGATTTTTTTCCAGGTGGATTTTGGGGGGGGTTGGGTTTTTTGGGGGTGATTTGGGGGTTTTTTCGAAGGGGGGTGATTTGGGGTTTTTCCAGGTGGATTTTGGGGGGGTTTGGGTTTTTTGGGGGTGATTTGGGGTTTTTCCAGGTGGATTTTGGGGGTGTTTTGGGTTTTTTTTGGATGAAGTTTTGGGGTTTTTTTCAGGTGGATTTTGGGGGAAGTTTTAGGGTTTTTTTCAGGGGGATTTTGGGTTTTTTTCAGGCAGATTTTGGGGTTGTTTTGGGTTTTTTTGGGGAAGGCTTTGAGGTTTTTTTCAGGCGGATTTTGGGGGTGTTTTGGGTTTTTTTTGGGTTTTTTTTCAGGCAGATTTTGGGGTTGTTTTGGGTTTTTTTGGGGAAGGCTTTGAGGTTTTTTTCAGGCGGATTTTGGGGGTGTTTTGGGGTTTTTTTTGGGGTTTTTCTCACCGTTTTGGGGGAGCCCTCCCTGCAGGCGATGTGCACCAGGACGGGGCCGGCTGCCCCTCCCCCCGTGAAGGAAACCCCGTAGCCGTCCTGGTGGGGCTGGGGGGGCACCAGTGAGCCCCAGTTCAGCCCAGTTCAGCCCAGTGACCTCCCAGCGACCCCCCCAGTCCAGCCCAGTGACCCCCCAGTCCATCCCAGTTCAGCCCAGTGACCCCTCCAGTTCAGCCCAGTTCAGCCCAGTGACCCCTCCAGTTCAGCCCAGTTCAGCCCAGTTAGCCCCCAGTGCCCCTCCAGTGATCCCCAGTTTAGCCCAGTAACACCCCAGTGACCTCCAGTCCTCCCAGTTCAGCCCAGTAATCCCCCGGTAACCCCCACTGCCCCCCCAGTCCCTCCCAGTTTATCCCAGTCCCTCCCAGTTCCCCCAGTACCCACCGGGTTGAAGCCGCCCCCCGCCGGCCGCAGGGGGTGGGGCAGCAGCGGGGGGTGTGGCCGAGGGGCGGGGCTAAAGGCCAGAGCCCAAGGCTGCCCCAGCACCTGGGGGGTGGGGACATGCAAATGAGACCACACCCACCCCCAAAGTGTCAGCCAATCACTGTGACTCTCTTTAGGCCACGCCCTTTTATGGCCACACCCTGTTGACCATATAAAGACAAAACCAGGCCCTCCTTGGCCCCACCCACCTCCTTATAAGGTAATTAATAAGTCAAGCTCCACCCCTTAACCCCAGCCCCACCCTCAAGCTCCACCCACCTCCATATATGGCAATTACAAAGCCCCGCCCCTTTTCAGTGTAAACCACACCCCCTCTTAGGCCACACCCCCAGCCCATCCAAAGCCCCGCCCACCTCTGTGAGGAAGGGTGGGCGGAGCTGCATCTGATTGGCCACGGCCGCCAGTGCCTGCAGGTGCCGCTCCAGCCCCGCCCCCGTCATGGCCGCCCGGCGCCGCCCCCGCGCCTGCGCCAGCGCCGCCTCCAGCAGCGCCCGCCGGCGCCCCCGCTGGGCACGGAGGGGAACTGCAGGTCAGGGGGGCCCCGAGACCCCCGGTGATCGCCCAGAGATCCCCAATGATCACCCCAAAATCCCCCCAATGATCACCCCAAAATCCCTCCAGAGACCACCAATGATCGCCCCAAACTCCTCACAATGATCGCCCCCCCAGAGACCCCCAATAATTGCCCCAAAATCCCCCCATTGATCACCCCAAAATCCCCTCAATAATCACCCCAAAATTCCCTCAATGATTGCCCCAAAATCCTCCCAGGACCCCCTCGAGCAGCCCCCACCACCACCCTTTTCCCCTCACATTTTCCACCATCTTTCCCCTCATGTTTCCTGCCCTTTTTCCCCTCACATTTCCCTCCCTTTTCCCCTCACATTTTCCGCCCTTTTTCCCCTTTTTGCCCTCACATTTCCCACCCTTTTAATTTCCATTTCCCCACTCTTTTCCCCCCTCACGTTTCCCACCATTCTCCCCTCCCGTTTCCCGCCATTTTCTCCCCTCACGTTTTCCGCCATTTTCTCCCCTCACGTTTCCCGCCTTTTTTCCCCCTCACATTTCCTGCCCTTTTCCCCTCACATTTCCCACACCCAAAACCAAGACCCCCCTCAGTGACCCCTCAGCATCCCCCAGCCCCATTTTTGGGGTCCCGGGCCCCATTTTTGGGGTTCCTCACAGGAATTTGGGGGTCCCTCAGGGCGCGCTCCAGCTCCAGCAGGGGGCGCCCCACACCGCGTGCGCCGTCAGCGCGGCCCTCGAGGAAAAGGCGCGTCGGGATCGGCTCGTACGTGAGGGCAGGGCCGCGCTCCTGAGGGGATTTGGGGGAGATTCTGGGAATCTCAGGGATTTTGGGGTCTCTGGGATGGAGTTTGGGGGGTCTCAGATGGGTTTGGGGGCTCTCAGGTGGGTTTTGGAGCCCTCGAGGAAAAGGCGCGTCGGGATCGGCTCGTACGTGAGGGCAGGGCCGCGCTCCTGGGGAGATTTGGGGGAGATTCTGGGAATCTCAGGGATTTTGGGGTCTCTGGGATGGAGTTTGGGGGGTCTCAGATGGGTTTGGGGGGTCTCAGGTGGATTTGGAAGCCCTCGAGGAAAAGGCGCCTCGGGATCGGCTCGTACGTGAGGGCAGGGCCGCGCTCCTGGGGAGATTTGGGGGAGATTCTGGGAATCTCAGGGATTTTGGGGTCTCTGGGATGGAGTTTGGGGAGTCTCAGTTGGATTTGGGGGGTCTCAGGTGGGTTTGGAAGCCCTCGAGGAAAAGGCGCGTCGGGATCGGCTCGTACGTGAGGGCAGGGCCGCGCTCCTGAGGGGATTTGGGGGAGATTTTGGGTCTCTACGATGAACACTGGGGGGTCCCAGGGGTGAATTTTGGGGGTCTCAGTGCCTCACCCTGACCAGCGCCAGCTCCAGCGCCAGCGCCAGCAGCTCCTGGGAGCTCTCGGGGGTCCCAGAGGGTCCCAGGGGGTCTTCGACCGACACCACGTGGAGCTGGAGCCCCTCAGCCATGGCCTGGAACTGCTCCCGGGCCTGAGGCAGCATCCCCGAAACCTGTCCGAAAACATTCCTAAAACACCCCTAAATGTCCCCCCAAACGCTCTCCCAGTCCCTCCCAGTGCTCCCAGTACCTGCGGGGGGAGGTCCCAGTGCAGCTCCTGGGGGGGCTCGGGGGTCCTGCCCTGCCCTGCCCCGAGGCAGTTCCCGGACTCGTCGTAGCCCAGGGACCGGTCCAGGGCCAGCGCGAACTGAGGGGAGAAAATT